ACTCTTTAGATGTTGTTTTATATAAGTATGGTACCTTTTTTTTATATCAACAAGTAATAATATTGTCCAAAAATACACATTTAAATCGTGAATTTTCCATTTTTTGAAAAACTGTATTGAGCCACCTTAATGTACCACAATAATTTAAAACTGTCTGTGTTCAATGTCACTCGTGTCCAACCTCGTAGCCAGGCTATAAAATGTGTTGTAATTGATGTAAATGTTTAGTTTATAAGGGATCCTGTGAATGAGGTTATTTATGACAAAGCTCGTAAATAAATATACAAATATATAAATATATATATATATATATATATATATATATATATATATATATATATATATATATATATATATATATATATATATATATATATAGTGCTGATGAGCAGGATGAACGTAACTGCTATTTACAGTTACCTTTGATGCCTCACGAATGTGGGATAACAAAACCATGCCAGAGCGCTCAAACTGCAAGCAGTGAGCGTGCGCAATGCGTAAGCGGCAATGGCTCATCCTGTAGAGCGCTCAATATGACCTAAAGGCCATAGAGTGATATCTAACTATATATATATTCACCTGGTAAATCACCACTTCTTCAAAAACTCAACAGAATGCATGGGGATTCTGTGATATTGGTATGGTTCTTATAATAATTGTATTTTTAATTACACACACACACACATAATAATTGTATTTTTAATTACACACACACACAAACACACACACACACACACACACACATATATACATATATACATATATACATATATACACATATATATATATACATATATACATATATACATATATACACATATATATACATATATATACATATATATACATATATATACATATATATACATATATATACATATATATATATATATATATATATATATATATATATATATATATATATATAGGTGGCTCAATACAGTTTTTGAAAAATGGAAAATTCACGAATTAGATGCGTATTTTTGGACAGTTATTACTTGTTGATAAACAACCTTACTTATATAAAACAACATCTAAAGAGTAGTATAATCAATCATTTTGACAATTTAAAAAAAATACTGTGGAGCCAAAAAAAATTATGAATAATCACCTTCACGTAATTTAAAAAAATTTCGGCTCCACAGAAATTTTTTTAATTGTCAAAATACTTGATTATACTTAGGGCCTGTTCATATGGGCAGAAGTTATCCCGGTTAGCGAGAAAACTTTTCGACAAGTTTACGAGCGAGATCTCGCCTTGTTACGAAAATAATATGAAAAGTTACATTGCGTTCATATGAGACGAAAAGTTTTCCCGTGTACCGAGATCTCGCTTGTTGACAGGCGAGATCTCGGTGACCGGGATAATGTTTTCCCCATATGAACACAACTAACACAATGTCCTCGGACCCTTCAAGTGAATGATCTCAATTATAAAACTACGTCACTTACACCAGGAGTAAATCGTTTAAACTCAGCCAGCCAGTTAGGCAGTGTCGATAATGGCGCTGTAACAAGGAATGGACCGAGAACTCCATTCTCGATCAAATGTGCTATTAATGCAATACATTGGATTGTCTTGCCAAGACCCATTTCATCAGCTAGAATACCATTCACACCATTCTCAAATAATACCTGAGATATAATAAGTTAATAGAAGGACCATTGTATACATATAGAGGAGAGCAGACTATATCCCAAGTGTACAATTTTGGATTAGAGCTCAGGGATTTATCCTGAAAATTTACTATATCTTTTCTTAACACTTCTTTTTGTGATATAAATAATAGTGATATAAATTCCAAAGAATACCAGAAATCTTTCCCAATGCCACGTCTGCAATCGTGGCGATAAACAGGGAAAATGTATTGAGAAACAATGTTTAAAGCAAAAGTGTTGACGCATTTGGGTTATTTAATGATGTTATTGTTGGAAAACGTTGGTTAGAACACAGCGCCTTATCGTGCAATAAAAATTTATTTTATAGTTGCTTTTCGTTTTTCAAAGATTTATTGTTAGTTTCTGACAATTGTCCATTTACCTACAATGCATTGCGCGGCGCCTCTCGTCAATGACCAAACCCTTGGTTCAAATATTCAGTCACAAATTTTACCTTCAACCACTCCACACCTTCTATTTGATAGTCTCTTAGCGACCCTCCTGTCAGTAACTGAGGTCTTTTATAGCCTGTAGTCTCACTCTAAAAAGGAAATATCAATAAAGGTCGAGTAGAAAGAAATGTTCTATTGGCGATATACGAGAATATGTACAAATTTATATCATCGGAGATGACGTCGCGAAATACAAGAGTTTCTTTTTTCTTGCGACAATCGCAGACGAGAATTGAGGCATACAAGTGTTGGATCAAGAGGCGAATCTTGTTGCGATCGTAAAACATGTAATAAACAGTGATGTTGATTTTATGAAGCTCATATGACGACAACAAGAAATAACCTTCTTTCACGAAAAAAAGACGATAAAACTGCTGGAAGGTAACAGAATTTAATATTTTTTGGCACTGAAGGCACCAACAAACCTAAGAATACTCTCAGGACGCATTGTTAAGCAAACTCTCAGGACTCATTCTTAAAAGAAAATATGCCTATGGTATAAACGCAACTCGTTTTAATATACCGTCTTTTTCTTGGTGTTTTTCTTTTCTTTAGTGATTAATTGTAATACTGTACTCAATTTTATTACCCAAATTATTCAGTCTGGGTTGGATTTACAGTTCGGTGTTGCCTCAGACCAGTAAAACTCAACCAACTCCTACGATACAACAATCGTGCATGTATATAGTTCTTTATTGTAGTGGGTACATGAGATGAAACCAGAATTTCAGAACTATAGTCTTAATCACTCATTCTGAAAAATACATATAGAATTAACGAAATTACCCGAGGAGTTTCATTTTCATTGGAATGATGTCCAATGGAAAGATTTTTATTGTCATCTTTATCCGGTACACATGATACGGCTATTGATTCCTGGCTGCTCTTTTTCAACGCCTATACAAAACAAGTGATGCTACAAAAGTCTATACTGAACGAGTCATCTGTACCAATCAACATTTTTCAGACATGCATGCTGACGCTACTACTTACATATAATAATCATCTTATGTCATGATGGAAAATGCAAATGCCCTTGATTTAGAGTTACAAATACTGATCCTAAAAACTGAGACTTGTGGTGCATCTGCTATGCACAAATGACGGGAATGGTGACCATATTGACTAGTGACCACCAAACATCAACAGTCGCATCTCAACTATAGTGATTAAAACATTCTAAAATCTATAATAAAACTATAATTTAAACGTCCTAACAATGGACCATTTGCATTATGGACTAAATTTTGATCTAGACAAAAATTTCATCACAGCTTGAAAAAGCATCACAAAATTAGTAATATTCCAAAGTTTTGTTGCGAAATGTTGTAAAATGCGGATAATATAGCCCTGCGAACTTTGCAATTTTCAGTCATTTTGTATTACAAACGGGAAATTGATGCCCCAACACCAGATTGGGCTGTCAATTTCCCGTGCGTAATACAAAATGACTGAAAAACGGCAAACTTCGCATGGCTATATTATCCGCATTTTACAACATTTCGCAACGAAACTTTGGAATATTACTAATTTTGTGATGCTCTTTCAAGCTGTAATGAAATTTTCGTCTAGATAAAAATTTAGTCTATAATGCAAATGGTCCATTAATAATCTCTTCATTCTGGTTTCAAAATTGGCTTAAAGAACTCCAAACGATGCTCTATCCAGTCTTACTTTTCAGATCAGTGATTACAAACAACCTACCTCAGTATCCACGTAATCTGTGATGTTGTAACCCGTGGATTTCTGATTACACTTACGACCACGTTTCGTGTCAGGAACCTGTAAAATTGAATATCGAGTTCCTTGCGATCATGTATATTAATTAAAGTAAAAAAGAACTATAACACTGTATAGGGAAATTTTGAAAATAGGTGTTAGCCAAATTAGTTAAATAATATTGTAGGCAATAGAGTGGACGTTTTGTGAAATCGAATCAGGGCAAAGTGTTATTATTAAAAGAGAGACGCTTTTTAATGATAGCTTATATAGGATTCATTAAAATAGCTACGGGGCAAGGCCTAGAAATTCGGTCAAGCCTTGCCAGAAAAGGAGTTGATAATACTAAACAACATATAGGATTGTATTGAACTCAAGGAATGTTTTAACGACATATCGTAGTTTATTCCGGCTTAAAATTAAAAAAGGTGTGTATCATACAGTTGCATGTAGTTTACTCAGAGCCCCGTTTACACTACGCTCAATTTTTGGTACCGTACCACTTTTTGGTTCTTGGACTACCTAAATAGGTAGTCCAAGAACCAAAAAAGTGGTACGGGTACCAATTTTATCCGTGCCGTACCAAAAATTGAGCGTAGTGTAAACGGGGCTTCAGTGCCAAGGACACACAATGGCCGATTTGGGTACAGTCCTTATGGCCGCTGCACGATTCTCACCACATTGTGCAGTTTGTAGGGGAGGAATGGATTGAATTAGAGATGAAACTACAGCCAATAATGACTTGACAATAGTCACCAATTGTAATACTCTCACTTTAATGACCAAATGTTAAAACCTACAGTTTGTGGCAATTCTTTATCATCCTCTTTCTTCGCCTTCTCAGCTCTTTTTGCTTCTCGAGCTTTTCTTTTCTCATTCTCCGTTTTCTGCTCTTCTATCCGTTGAAGAAGAAACTCTGAGTAGACATTTGACTTCTGTAACAAATGTTGTAGTCGAGAATACCGTTGTTTCTCAACAGTTGTTTCCAATTCTTCCATCGCCTAAAATTTATGGAAAAATTATAGTCCATTATTTCCTCCTAGTCATATTTCCCGAACCTAGTCATATTTTCTGAACATGCTTCAGAACCATGTTTCTTGATTGCGGGCAAACCAGGAAACATTTTTGACACACAATTGGATGTATAAAGTAAACTATTATACTGAGAGTAACTGCCTATTTTCAAATGTTGTGCAACGTTTCCCACAAATCCCGAGAACATGCTGTCTCAATATTGAACCTGAAAATATAAGCCTCTATATATGGAAGATTATGTCTTTTCACCGAATCGCATGGTCCGCCAAGGTTACATTTTTACCAATCCCTCACCTGATACGTGAGCGTAGACGTTCTATGAAATTGGAAAATGTTTAAATCTAACTAGAAAATACATGCATGCAGAAACCCTCGCTTTGCTGACAAAACCATTTTATTTTCCGAACGTGAAGTACTTTAAATTAAGTAGTTGTCATGGTAACACGATATTTTTTTAAGAATGTTTTTACAAATGAAAAATCCCCTAAAAATATCACTCTTACTGTAATTACAAAATTATCAATTTCCTAAACATATATATGTTAGGTATGTTATTATACGTAATATAGGAATTTAAGGTAAAATTCAACCACAAACGCTTCGCAAAACGTTTTAAAATGTTCTTTTACTATAGAACTAAACTGCCTTTATCGATAAACTTTGAGTTCGGAATAAAATGATTCCAAATTCTCCCATGCAAATAACTTTGCTTAGTATAATAAAAAGTGTAATCAATAAAGAAACACTGAAATAATACGCTGTCTTGTTTCATATTTATACACAACGATCGGCTTTTAAAGTAATTACAGTAGGTATGTTATTACACGTAATATAAGCTTCAATTTAAGGTAAAATTCAACCACAAACACTTCGCAAAACGTTTGAAAGTGTTCTTTTAATATAGAACTAAACTGCCTTTATCAATAAACTTTGAGTTCGAAATAAAATGATTCCAAATTCTCCCATGTAAATAACTTTGCTTAGTATAATAAAAAGTGTAATCAATAAAGAAACACTGAAATAATACGCTGTCTTGTTTCATATTTTATATACGCAACGTTTTTAAAGTAATTACAGCCGAGATTACAGTATATTAAAAGCAAACAATGCATCAATATTTAAAACAAACTTACCTTCGTTAACGTCGGCACCTTTACTTCCTTCTTTTAGCAATCCTCTTGCCTTCATTTCATCAAAAATCCTTTGCAATTTACAAAATCTTGCATAAATGAAATATATTTGCAAGAAATCATCAAATCAATTTCGCTGTCGTCAATCGTCATGCAGCCGTTATAATGCCAATTTTAAATTGGACCAATCAGTGTTGGCTATTCATTACAGTCCGCTATATTATGAGATCAGTGAGGATGACCACCCACCGAAACACGCACAGTGACCCACGCCCGCGATATTTGATGAACTTTAGACCATTGAACTATAAATAAACTGGAAGGCTAACTCAGGGGGGGAAATTGAAGCCAGTGCATTTTAGTTTTTCTGAGTTATGAGCAGAAATACTCAACACTGAACGTTGGGCTATATATCAAATTGAAGCTATTGAAAAACGCTATTTGGTGTAGAAATTTCAAGACTTTAGCTAAAAGGGAAATATTGAAAAACTACAAACATAATTACCGATAATTTGCCGTTTTGCAGTTGTTTTTGTATTTTTTAAATATTTTTCTTTTCGCTGAAGTCTTGAAATTTCCACACCGAATAGCAATTTTCAATAGCTTCAATTTGATATATAGCCCGACGTTTGGGGTCAAGTATTTCTGCTCATAACTCAGAAAAACTATTTTGGCTTCATCAAATCATAGGCCTTCATCATAGCAGTTAGCCTTCCAGTTTATTTATAGTTCAATGCTTTAGACTTGGCTAATGCTTTCGTTTCCCCGGGTGTAAATAGCCGGGGGGATTAGTACCCTCGCACGGCGCTTCGCGCCACCGGCTCGGGGATTATAGCTTATAATTAGAGGAATTAGCGAAAATTGACTATATTCATGACGCGCTTGTCAGGACATGTAGTAAAACATGGACTGGACGCTTGTCAGGACATGTAGTAAAACATGGACTGGACGACATTAGTAAAACATGGACTGGACCCGATTAGTAAAACATGGACTCTATTAGTAAAACATGGACTCTATAGTAAAACATGGACTCTATTAGTAAAACATGGACTTATTAGTAAAACATGGACTCTATTAGTAAAACATGGACTCTATTAGTAAAACATGGACTCGATTAGTAAAACATGGACTCTATTAGTAAAACATGGACTCGATTAGTAAAACATGGACTCGATTAGTAAAACATGGACTCGATTAGTAAAACATGGACCCGATTAGTAAAACATGGACCCGATTAGTAAAACATGGACTCCATTAGTAAAACATGGACTCTATTAGTAAAACATGGACTCGATTAGTAAAACATGGACTCGATTAGTAAAACATGGACTCGATTTGTAAAACATGGACCCGATTAGTAAAACATGGACCCGATTAGTAAAACATGGACTCGATTAGTATTGCTTGACTGTTTTTTTGTAAATTGTAATTTTAATAACATCAACTTTAGTGTATAAGAGATCTCATCGATATTTAACGTAAAGTTTCAAGAAGCATCGGCCATTGTAAGTAAGTGTGGAATAAATAAATTATTTACCGACAGCTAGGTAATGCTATATAGATGATTTCTTGATTTCCAGGTAAACAGAAACACCTTTGCTATTTTAACACGTCCACGTCGATTTATCCCAGGAGAAACGTCATTTGGACGTGGTTGCGTTGTGTACACTATATTCTTTATAAATATATACTCGATAAAAAGATTCTCCGACAATCGGCATGTTTCCTGCAATACTAATTTACGAATTTTGGATTGATAGTGTCAGACATTCTGACCACCGGCAACCGTTTGCCAATAGTTAAATATGAAGCATTTACATATTTGTTTGCGTGCGAACAACGGCCGATAAATAGATCTGGGGTTGGTTGTATAAATTAAACAAATCTATGAACTATTGACTACAAGCAAACTAATCTTTTCTTTTCTGTCTAGACATAATAACAATGCATAAAACTACTCATTTAGTTGATAAAAATTAAGTTCAAGTACTTACAATATATGTATATTGAGAAGGCCGAATGTTTTTAATTTTTTGCCTATACACCCTTTAAGCCAAACGCCTTTGATACAACCGACCCCTATTCAATTTCGTGTTAGGTTTGTAAGGTGGGGGGGGGGGAGATGGGGTCATCAGGGAAACGTACATAATCAGGAAGTTTCTCGTGGAATAAATCGATACGCGACACTTTCAAAAATATCTTGCCCCTCACAGACTCAAGAAATACGGCAGCTTAAAATATAACACAATGAAAAATTGTTTAAATGTTTCAGGAAAAAAATGGTCTGATCATTCAGTGGAATAGCACATCATGCCTACCAACATGAAATGTTCCAGATGAAATGTTCAACTCTGAAAAATAGTTCAAATAACTCAACGAAAAATATGCTAGATTGTATTACTAAATAACTGTCACTGATAACTAATTGATACCTAATCCCTTATCAAATCATAGTGCTCTTTCTGAAGGTGTGGCCTTAGATCGTCCTGCAATTGGCAAGATGCTGCGTTGAAATCTTTGTAGGCAGATCGAGCGCAATATGAACTGACATGAATATGAACCAGCATTCGTATGTAGTTCGACTGTACAATATTATACAGATGTATTGAATGGAGTATTAAAAATGCTATCAGAACAATGTACGAGTTCACGGATCGAAAGCTATATATTAAAAGTTTACGTGCTGTTTTCCACCACGAAATATTATTCATTATAACTGGAATTACATAAAAAATATAAACTCGATAATAAATAATCTTCACACAAGTCATCCGACGACAGCGATGAAATGATTCTGTTTTACTAATCGAGTCCATGTTTTACTAATCGAGTCCATGTTTTACTAATCGAGTCCATGTTTTACTAATAGAGTCCATGTTTTACTAATCGAGTCCATGTTTTACTAATCGAGTCCATGTTTTACTAATAGAGTCCATGTTTTACTAATAGAGTCCATGTTTTACTAATAGAGTCCATGTTTTACTAATAGAGTCCATGTTTTACTAATAGAGTCCATGTTTTACTAATAGAGTCCATGTTTTACTAATGACCGTTACATGTTGCGTGCATGAAGTTCAAAGTTGTATAATATCATAACCCAATCCATTTACAATGTATATTTTTAACTTTGTAGTTCAGTTTTTGAATCAGAAAAGGCATTTTATGTAAACAAATAGGTGACATTGCCCTTTTAAGGGTTAAGTTCCAATAAGCAAATCTGAAATTAGCGATGACACCTCTTTAAAAGGGGTATTTTAGTTCTCTGACGGTTGGTCAGAACGACGCTTTGAAAGAGTATAGTGTTAGGTCTCGTTGAAGAGTTAAAATAACTTTTTGAAAGGGAGGAATCTACTCATTTCAGGAATAAGCTGCCAAGTGACTAAACAACCTGTTTGAAAGGGTAGTCAATATAACTATTCTTGTGAGATCATCGTCAATCTTACATCGTGCTTATACTTCACTGCATGAAATTGCAGTCTTTGTCGTGCTCTTGCCAACCATTGTAGACGGCCGGCCAAGCTTGCGAAAAACGCTTCAAAGAATTCCGATGGCAATTTCATGTTAGAAGCTGGTAACAAGCATAACCGAATAACTTATTGACTTTAGTGAACACGAATCTGCTTTGTTACCAAGCTTGTTTTTGAGTTTATACGGGGAAAAATCGAGCTTTTTCTACCCCATCTACGAACGGCGAAGCGGGTTTTTCAAACATCTAATTTACATGTGCGAGAAACATTTTTTTCCCTATAAGCTACGCTGATTGGTTGCTGGAAAATGTATGAGCCAATCAGAGAGCAACCGAATCGTAATCTATTTGACAATCAAGAAGGAATTT